CGGCATTGACAAAATCACCCTCAGTCAATTGCAAAAGGCAGCTTTACTTGGAACAGCTGACATCCTGCGCCGATACCTTTAACACCATCAAACAACAACATCTGCCTATCCCAGGTTCTCAGGAAGGACTCAGTAGGTGGGTAAAAATGCCAGATCCAGTCTAAACACCTGGCTGACTATGCGACCAACAACAACAACAATAAAAATAACAATAAAACACAGAGAGAGCAGCTGGGAAAAATTACTTTGCTGTGGATACATCCGGGTTCTCTGTCATCACCAGAGTTGTTCTTTGATGGACAAGTACTACCTATCAGCAAGCAAGTTCACAACTTGAAGGTCCTTCTGGTCTCTGGCTCCTGTGTAGGAGGATCTACCTACAGTTATTCATCTCCTTATCACTACCTGGCTAGGCTATTGTAACACACTGTATTTGGGGCTGCCCTTAAAGACTAGTTAGAAATTACAATTGGTCCCAAATACAATGGCCTACATACTTTCTGACATTGTTAGGAGCATACAATATTGCATATAATATTGGTTTTGCAGACCCTACATTGGTTGCTAATTGGTTTCCATGTACAATTTAAAATGCTGGTTTTAACCTATAAATTTCTTTATGGTTTGGTGCCTGAGTATTTGCAGGATCACTTACTCCAACCAATACTGGCTGAACAATTAGATCAAAGAGGGAGAAACTGTTACTGATCCCATATTTTGGGGAGGTCTGGGGGACTGAAATGAGAAGGTGCTGCTTTTCCTTGGCATGTTGACCCTATGGAACAGCCTCCTGGTTATGTACAGAGTAGCCCTCTCCTTGATGTTTCAGAAGCTTTAAAAGGCAGAGCTGTTCCAGAGAGCTTCTCCTGATTTTATCATATCATCTTTACTTTCTATTTTTATTGTTTGTAGTTTTATGTTTGGGTAGTATTGTTTTACTGTTTTTATGGATATTATACCATGGATGTTTTACTTGCATTTTATAATCCATGTAAGCCACTGAGAATCTCTGGATTGTGATGGGGTAGAAATGTGAAAAGTAAATAAATGTAGAGTAGGAGTGATAACTTCCAGAATCTGGAAGCAAGCATGATAAACTATGCAGAGGCAGTAGTAGGTAGAGATATTGTTGACTTCTGCCCCTTCTCAACGAAGTTACTTATTTCTGCTCCGCTTATGCACCTATGTGGCCCTTCTTATTCCACACTCTAATGAAAAATAATA